GTTCTTGTCGAGGGGGGCGCTGTACATTTATGCAGAGGTACATGTCGGACGTGTGGGGGGCTGTAAATTTACGGTTAGGTACTTGTCGAGGGGGGCGGTAGATTTATGGTGAGGTACTTGTGGATGGGGGGGGGCTATATATTTATGGTGAGGTACATGTTGAGGTTGGGCTGTAGATTTATGGCGAGGTTCTTGTCGACGGGGGACTGTAGATTTATGGTGAGGTACATGTTGAGGGGGGAGGGGCTGTAGATTTATCGTGAGGTACTTGTTAAGGAGGGGTGCTGTAGATTTATGCTGAGGTTCGTGTCGAGGGGGGCTGTAACTTTATGCTTAAGTACATGTCGGGGGGGGGGGGGGGGGGGGCTTTAGATTTATGCTGAGGTTCATGTCGAGAGGGCCTGTAGATTGATGGTGATATACATGTCGAGGGGGAGGGGGGGGCTGTAGATTTATGGTGAGGTAAATGTTGAGGGGGGGCTGTAGATTGATGGTGATATACATGTCGAGGGGGTGGGGGGTGCTGTAGATTTATGGTGAGGTTCTTGTCGAGGGGGGCTGGAGATTTATCGTGAGGTACATACTGATGGTGGGGCTGTAGATTTATGGTGAGGTTCTTGTCGAGGGGGGCTGTAGATTTATCGTGAGGTCCTTGTTAAGGAGGGGTGCTGTAGAGTTATGCTGAGGTTCGTGTCGAGGGGGGCTGTACCTTTATGCTTAAGTACATGTCGGGGGGGGGGGGGGGGGGGGCTTTAGATTTATGCTGAGGTTCATGTCGAGAGGGCCTGTAGATTGATGGTGATATACATGTCGAGGGGGGGGGGGGGTGCTGTAGATTTATGACGAGGTTCTTGTCGACGGGGGGCTGTAGATTTATGGTGAAGTACATGGTGAGGGGGGAGGGCTGTAGAGGTATGGTGAGGTACATTTTGAGGGGGTTGGGCTGTAGATTTATGGTGAGGTAAATGTTGAGGGGGGGCTGTAGATTGATGGTGATATACAGGTCGGGGGGGAGGGGGGGTGCTGTAGATTTATGGTGAGGTTCTTGTCGAGGGGGGCTGTAGATTTATCGTGAGGTACTTGTTAGGGAGGGGTGCTGTAGATTTATGCTGGGGTTCGTGTCGAGGGGGGCTGTAACTTTATGCTTAAGTACATGTCGGGGGGGGGGGGGCTGTAGATTTATCGTGAGGTACATACTGATGGTGGGGCTGTAGATTTATGGTGAGGTTCTTGTCGAGGGGGGCTGTAGATTTATCGTGAGGTACATACTGATGGCGGGGCTGTAGATTGATGGTGATATACATGTCGAGGGGGAGGGGGGGTGCTGTAGATTTATGGTGAGGTTCTTGTCGATGGGGGCGCTGTACATTTATGCAGAGGTACATGTCGGACGGGTGGGGGGCTGTAGATTTACGGTTAGGTACTTGTCGAGGGGTCTGTAGATTTATGGTGAGGTACTTGTGGAGGGGGGGGGCTATAGATTTATGGTGAGGTACATGTTGAGGTGGGGCTGTAGATTTATGGCGATGTTCTTGTCGACGGGGGCTGTAGATTTATGGTGATTTACATGTTGAGGGGGGGGGCTGTAGATTTATGGTGAGGTACTTGTCGAGGGGGCTGTAGATTTATGGTGAGGTACTTGTTGAGGGAGGCTGTATATTTATGGTGAGGTACTTGTTGAGGGAGGCTGTATATTTATGGTGAGGTACATGTCGAGGGGCTGTAGACTTATAGTGAGGTACATGTTGAGGTGGGGGGGGGCTGTAGATTTATGGTGAGGTACATGTATAGGGTGGGGGCTGTAGATTTATGGTGAAGTACATGTTGAGGGGGGAGGGCTGTAGAGTTATGGTGAGATACATTTTG